CTCAAGCAAGCGAGCCAAATATGATGTCCAGATGGAGCCAGACATTCGCTCACGTTCTCTTACCACGCAAATTTCAAATGTGCCCAGCATCCAAATTAACAGATAAATAATGATGTATAGCGTTTGTGATCGAGTAATGTCAATAAAGAAGCAACACACAGATAGACTTGTTGCTATAGATCATCATATGTCTGGAAGGATTTTCAAGAATTCAATATGAAATACAGTAATCGATCATCAAGCTTTGCAATATCTATTCAGAGCACAAAAGTCGATTTCCAAACCGACAGTGGCGATGATTCAGCGATAGAGCATTGCATTGGCGGCCTGCAACTACGATACAGTGCACCATCCGGGCGAAACAATTCCTGAAACCGATTTTCTCTCAAGGTAGTCCTAATTCTCGGCTGCTAAGAGGTGCCACTTCAGTGCTACTGCTGCCTTGGTATCACGAGAGGAGTTGCGCCGCTGTACCAAAAAAACTATGCAGAAATCATAACGGCTCTATCAAAAGGATGGCCTCCCGACCTGAAGCGGAAATTCGCAGCATTCTATGCACATCGTGAAGAAATCAGTGTCCAACCTGACGGAATACTATTCCGCACCAATCGACTGATCATCCCACCGCTTCGCAAGGCAGTGCTAGAAGACCTGCACAAGGGCCACTTAGGGGTGGCGAAAATGAAGTCGTTGGCACGACAGCTGTGAAGGTGGCCCGGCCTACCAATATCTGATACGTCGGTGATCAAAGTTGGATGTTTCGTCGGAGAGCGAGGCAAGTACTGGTCTGTCAGTTATCATGTGAATGATTTCACATAGATTTTGTTCACACCTGGCCGTTCATTTCCATTCTGTAGTCGACTGAGCAGCGAATAGTGGTTGAGCTTTCCTGGAGAAGTTCGGAATGAAACGTAAATAATATTGGAGACATCCTATAATGGATCTGAGTTGGTTTTGGTCTCGGCGGTTCGAGTTCAGTCCATGGGCGGAAGCGACGCGGATCAGAACTGTAGCCTTTGAATTCACTTTGTAGCCCGAGAATTCCAATTCCGGTGAACTGAACATGCATTTAGAATCGCGAATTGACACATTCTTTTGAGCGAAACGCTCCAGTAGTTTGAGGAGTCTATCGTCATGTTCGGCATTCGTTGTACCAAACACAGTGATATCGTGCTACTACGCTAACACACCATCGAGTCGGCGAATGACTTCGTTAAAGCCGCCTGGAATATAATTGAAGATGTGTGGAGACCAAACTGTAAGAGATTGTTCTGATATGGTTCCCACGGTGTGTTGATGGTGGTGAATTGCTTGCAGGATGGAGCGAGAGTATTCTGGAGTTACGCATCAGCCAAGTCGATCTTCAAGAAGCATGTGCTGCCATGCAATGCTTTCATGAAATCCTCGGTTCTATGGTGGTAGCCGCACACTTTCGCAACCGCGGGTTGAGGTTCAACCGGTAATCGCCACAAATTCGCGGTGTTTTGCCGTCACTTTTGATCGCGATCACAATTAGCATTGCCCACGTACTGGATGTGACTCGGGTGATTATGCCATCGCGCTCCATTTTCTCAAGGGCCTGCAGCACGCCTTCACGTTGGCCATAGGGGATTACGCGTCGTTTCAGGAAAATGGGCTCCCCGTCAACTTTCAATTTGGATAGTTGCACGTTCATGCCTTCTGTATGATTGGAACAATTCACGATCAGGCGCTGTAGACGGGTGTGCACATTGGACATAGAGATTGTATGGAGTGACACAGAATGGTTTAATGTATGATTGGCGGTTAAGCCAAGTATGGATGGACTGTTTTTGGCAATTAGGAAGCGAATGGGAACAAGGCGTGTTCTGTGGAATGTACCGCCAACGAAACCTCACCAATCAATGGCAGTTTGTGTCTAGTCACACCAAAGATCCGTACAGATGTCCGACGGATCTCAGCTTGGGGACAGATTGACCGAAGAACTGCAATAGAACTGATAGATTCTATGCTTCCCGTGTCAACAATGAATTTTTGCGTTGTGCCGGACTATAAGGTCACATCTCTGTATAGGAATTGGGTGCACTGGCTTTCGGATTTTAGAGAGAGCACAAGGTTTATGTCATTCGCGGCAGTTGGGTGTGAAGCATTGCAACGGGGCTGTTTACACACTCTCCGAATGTAACCAGTTTTCCCGTATGCATGACGCTTGGCATTTCGGAAGCGGCAGTTGGAGCGCAGATGGTAAGCTACGCATGACAAACACGGATTGATACGTTCCTTTTTGCCAGAATGGCCTTTCTGCAGCTTCGGTATACACTTGACAATCGGAGGTCGGTTCGGTCGTGTCTTCTGCTGTTAAAATAATGTGACTGCTTCGTTGGAGGTAACTCTCATCATGTCATCAAGTTGCTCACACATCTTGCGGGCCTCAGCAAAAGTCAAATCCTTCTTCTCCAGTAACTTTCGTTGGTGAGTCAGATTGTTAATGCCTGCCACTAAGCGGTCACACATTTGTTCTTCCAGGCGATCACCATAGTTGCAGCATGCTTCCAGTTTTTTCAGCTGCAGGATGAATTCACGGCAGGAAACATGATCAGCACGAATCATAGAGTTGAATTTGGTTCTTTTGTGTGCTCAAAATTCAGTGGGCGGCAAGGGAATGGGCAGCAACGACTTCAAGGACTCGTAGGGTAGTTTAGCCGGAGCCTCAGGAAACACCAGGTTTTTCAACAGGGAGTAGAGGTCACGATCGCCAGCGGTAAGAAATAGGGCTGATTGATTTCGTGCACCACCTTTGCGAATACTGCATCACAGCTCAAATCGTTCGACCCATTCCTCGATCTCAGATGGGCTTACCTGCAGGTTCAGTTGCTCAGTCGTTAGGAGCTACATCACGCGACGCCAATTTGTAATGATCGTAGTAGTAGTACTTGTACGCACGAAATTTGGAATGCAGGCCACGCAATAGGAATCACTGAACACGAATCGAGGATTAGCTGTCACGGACTGGATTACGGAAACACTGGATTGCAATGGCACGAGCTAGCAATATCCCAGGTGAACGAGACGTGAGGAAAAGGTCACAGGAATAGTGGTACGCAGTTAGTTTATTGGAAGAAATGAAGGCGATTAAATAATTTGTACAAAAGAAGATTATTGGTTATCTAGGCGTACGCCAATCGGGTTGCAATACTGCTTGCATAATTCTGCTTGTCTTCACTGCCTCGGATTGGCTAGCACGATCCACCAATGACGTGTAGTCAGAAGCCATGAGCGTGTCATTGGCATCATTTTTCAAATTTTATTGATCGCAAATGTCCAGAAACTGTAACGCGCCGCTCCAGGGTAGGCGTCATTGTATTTCGCGTTGAATTTTGAAAATCCTTCCAACCTACAATGATTAAATTCTACGTTACTCTGTTCTTGCGTTACTTGTTTATTTACGCATTCTCGCTCAACCACCCCAATACAATTGTTTATCTGTTGAATCGATACCCGCCTCATTTCAATTTGCCGTGGATAGAGAACTTGAACGATCTGTTAGCTCTTGTTGGACATCCCATCTGGTTCTCGATTGCTTGAGTGCTTTTGGCCTTACATTGAAGGTTTGATTTGTTGTGCATTTTGTAATGATTTTCCTAATTCAGTAGCGTAGAACATTACGGATCAGTCGTGTTTTATTTCGGGATTTCTATCGGTTTCGGCTATGCGTTACTTAAGTGCGAATTGATTGACATATAGGCATCAGATAAGCCTGCATCAGTGCAGATAGGTTAAACAGATGGGTCAGTGGGTGGGCAAGGACTGTTTCCAGGGGTTTCAGTGCATTGATAGATCTGTGAAAATCCTTCCTGTTAAGCCCAGTCAATCTATCTCGGTTCCACATTTCGTGAAGTTCACGTTCCATTTACTCAACACCACCCGCCTCACACATACATAAACATTTCACATTCCACTCCCTTTGTATATTTACACATCGATCCCACTATTTGACTTTGTTTGTTTATCAGCTTCATTCGTATCCTACTTGTTTTACTCGCGACCTGAGCGCTCACATTTGGCTCGTTCGTGTGCAGCTTGACGGTGAGCATGCTGTTATCATCCAGGCTTATTTTCTTCCGTGTAGATTTGTTGAATTACGCTCACGGTAATACTTGGCTTTTGTTTTCAAGTTGTTTCGAGATCATTTTGAGGTTTGTACAGTATTTCGTTTGCTTATTTGATCATTTATTATTGCAATACTGCAGGAACTTGGTGGATCATTCGTTTTGGTGACGTTTTGGGATCCGATTTCGGCTGCGCGTTACTCGTTGATCTATTCGAGAGACACACTCAGTATGACTGAGTGGATGCCATCTGACGGTGCCGATTTACCTGCATTTTAAGGCGTCCCAAGTGGTCCTGGACCTCTTGGGGGAGTAATTCGCAATCTGGTATACTTGGGATGGGCCTCGGAGTTCGTTGTCCTCCGGGTGCCCCATTATCCCTAATGTGGACTGCTTCGAAGAAGCGTCTGAGGATTTCCGTTTTCTTCGAGCTAGCTAAGACTGGGTGATTGCTCTCGACCTTAAGAGCGCCTATCGCCGCACGCAAATTTGAGTTAGCTTGTACGTAGTTGAAGAATGCCTTGGGGCATTATTTAATCCTCCGCGCCAGTCTCGTTTCGAAGGCTCTACGGCAAGCCGTCTGGGCACTGATCGCCCTATCCCTCTCCCTGAGGTACTGGAGATACCTTTGGTGACTGCGGGTCCTGAAGTACTGCCTCCAAGCTTGACGCTTTCAGGCTTATGCTTTTGCTACCCTGCTGGACCACCAGTAGAGTTTACCGTTTCTGCGAATCCTCCTTAGAGAAGCAAACTAAGAAGTGAGCATAGAGAGGTTGGACCTAATGGTGATCCGCAGCCCTTCTATAGTATCGAGCTACCCCCCCTCAGTGTAGCTCAGTGGCTCTTTCAGCGAGGGAGTTACTGTTTATTCTGTGGAAAGATCTCCATTTTATGTAAGGATTTGGGCCATCTTCCTGTAGACAGAAACGCAGGATCACATGATCACTCTTACCCAGTGGTGGTGGTGGTTTCCAAGTCAGCCGCGTCATGGGGATATTTACTCAGTACAATGTCCAATAACCCAGGCTTTTGCCCGCTGCTATAACGCGTGGGGTGGTTGACGTGTTGGACTAGGGCACATTCGAGGGTAAAATTAACCAGCAAGTGACCAAAACCTTTTGGTGGTGTCCTCGTGGTATTCCAGTCAACTTCCGGGGTATTGAAGTCCCCCAGAATTAGCACGCGGTTTGACTCGTGGCTAAACTGTCCAAGGGATGGGAGTGACTGCTCATCCTTCACCTGGAATGCTGAGGGACTGTGATACCCACAGCCTACCGCCAGCTCCTTTGTGGGGAGGTGTATCGCACAGGCCGCTACCTGGATGTTAGGTGTGTTTCAGGGAGCGACTGTTTCAGTTTGGAGCTGCTCGCTGGTCATGAGCAGTGCTCCTCCCCTTATGCGATTGTCTTCCCTATCGGTTCTGAAGACAGTGAAATATTTTGGTTTTAACGACTCGATATCTTCATTCGGTCGAAGCCGGGTTTCGGTTGTCGCTATGCAGTCGGAGTGAATGCACTCCGACGTTAACTCACCTCATTTGTTCCCCAGGCTGCAGGCATTTGTGCTGAACACCTGCAGGTCTGATCTGTGGCTAGTGGCTACGGAACCTTCAGCTACAGCCCCCCTCCGATGATAGAGTCACACCTAGAACTTTGAAGTCCGTAAAAATGAAGGATACTGAGTATAGAAGGAGAATCTAGGGTTTGATGGAGAGGGGAAGAGAGAAAGTGGAACCGGGGGGATAAGGGGGCCACTGGTTAAGGTTCTGGAAGCTCCTCGGCGACACCCTTTAACCGGTCGTCAACCGACGCTGGGCTCTCTGAGCAGTGGGCACTATCAACAATTGGACAATGGAAAATTTGGCAGGGGCAATGGTTGTTGGGTGCGGCTGTATCCACCGCTTTGATTACATGCGTCCGCATTCCGGACCAGGTAGAGGAACGCACCCC